TCACATACTATCATATGTGTGTATGTATATAATGTATACATACCTACATTCCAACAAAAATATAGAAACAGTGACTCAAAAATTTCACTGATTTAACCAAAGAATGTGTCGCAAACTGTTTCGTTATTTCTGCGTGTAACTGTACATACACTTTTATCTTAAACACATTTTACATATGGTAAAACAATCTATGTATACACATTTCATTGTATATAATAGGACGTCTACCTATTTATTTCTTTCAAATGTACTTGGGCATACTATAAATTATTCAATTTTATAAACGTAACTTGGCATTTTATATCTAAGAGATAATTACTGATAAATAATAAATCTTTATGATCTCCCTTAGACTTGTTTTTAAGAGTAAAAAAAAATAATAAATAGACACAAAAATGTGCCTGAAAAGTGGGATATTAAAAAAGAAAATAGGCTTTCTGGATTGGAAATCAGTTATCCATTAGCTCTATTTGTATTTCGGTGATGATGTCATACATTTGTTTCCAAAAAAGAACGATGACGTAACAGTACGACCATGGAATGAGCTTTCAAGGATGTACAGTAGTATAAAGAAAAAATGTAACATTACCTATTATCGGTTCATGATTAAAAAAAAGTCTTCTCAGTATCTAGGTATATTTCTACCAAAAAAACGAACAGACTCTGCTTTTCATAATATAAATGCACTTTGAAAACAAAAAAAAAAGCTAAATAAATTAGACTCAATTATTTACATTTTGTGGGTTTTTCGTTTGTAGACAACTAATTCACAGAACGGTATTTGTTTTTGTAATATCTTTACCAAATGCATGTTAAAAGGAAACTTTTAAATGAGAAAATGAACCCCTTTGGCCCCACACAAAAACCTACCAAAATAACATATCAAGGTGAAACATAACATTAACTACTAAACAAAATAGAACAGTTTAGAATAGTGAAGGCAGAACTTCATCATCCAACCCTATTGTCAGTTTTTTACCACCTCCAACGGGTCAAACTATTTGAAGTACTGCTAACCCACCTTTCTGATATAGCCACTTCTTCTCCATTACTATTAATTATTTTCGTTGTCATATTGTCCCCGACAAACCATTTCTGTCCCTTAAGCACCACGTTGTATGGGGGTTCGTGATCCTTGCCGATATCTGACGACCAAATGGTGATTTCGCCTTTGGGTTCGATCTTTGCACCACGATTGAATTTGTGTACAGTTTCCAGTTCTCCTGCTTTCCTGACAATCTGCCAGCCACTTAGTGATATTTCCTTGTTGGATTTATTGTGAATTTTGACAAATTTCCCTTCGGCGTCGGCTTCCGATATTTCAACATCGCCCTTTGAAGAGTTTGATACACTGTAATCAGCCATACTGTGTTCTTGGCTTTCCTCCATTAGGGTACGTTTGCGTTTTGAACCAACACCAGCCGATGATCTTAAGGGTGTCGAACGTTTTTGCGAGGATGTCGAGCTTCCTCGAACTGATCGCTGCAGTTCAGCTGCAGCATTCCCGCTGATGTTGAGTCGCGCTTCTTCTGATTCCAGAAGCTTACGATATGCAGCTATTTCCAAGTCCAAAGACACTTTTATGTCCATGAGATCCTGATACTCTTGCAATTGCTGAGCCATTTCGTCTCGTAAACGTGCCAATTCGTCCTCCAAGAGGGCGAGATCTTCAGCATGACGAATACGCTCATTCTCTAGCTGCTTCTCCAGGTCCCTAGCGCGACTTGCTAGAGCCGAATTTTGATTTTCTAATTCGGTTATTCGATTATTAAGGGAATCGATACGTACTCGTGTTTGACGGAGTTCATCAAGAGCAGCAGAAGCGGCGCCAGTATTGCGGTTAGCTGCACTTTGCAAATTTTTAATTTTACTTTCGTACAACAGTTCGATTTCTTGCCTGTTATTGGCCATTTGGGTTTCATATTGATCTCGCAATTCCTGCAATGCTTGTTGCAATTTAGCTTCGTACTGTTCAGCTAATCTACCATCGATTTCGCTTATCTCTATTTGACGTTTGGTACGAGTCTCCGTCAGCTGTTGTTGGTAAATTTGGTCTTTGAAGGACAACTCTTCGCGTAAACTTTGATTATTGTTTTCTACGTCTACTCTAGCAAGTGATTCCTCTTCCAATTGCTTGCGAAGTTCCTCGATTTGTTTTTTAAGCTTATCCCGTTCTTTCTCAAGGTCACGCAGTTCACTCATTGCCTTTTTAGCATCATTTTGGGCTTGATTATATTTTAGTGTTAAGTCGTTGTTACGAGTCTCTAAAACGCGAACAGAATTATCCGCTAGAGCAAGATCTTTACTTTTTTTAGCAAGCGTTTCTTTTAATTCTTCGTTTTCGTCCCACAAACGTTTGGTGTCGATTTCTAAGCGAGCCTTTTCACGATGAGTTTCATCTAACAATTTTCGTGCGTCAGATAATTCATGATCGTACATGGACTTAATATTTTGAATTTCCCGCGTAACTGTTTCTTGCGTGGATTGTACCTCCCGTGAAAGCCGGCTATTTTCCGCTTCTAAATAACGTACCTTGTCAATGTAGGTGGCCAATCGATCGTTTAAGTTTTGTAATTCTGCCTTTTCTTGTAAACGGGAAACCCTTGTAGGGCTCAATGGGCTAGAAGGACGGCCGCTGGAAGGCGTCGTTTGAGACACAGGTGTCGAGCCTTTTTTCGTTCTCGATGTCATTTTGATTAACGATTTGAATTTCAGACGAACGATTGCTGCACTTCACTGGTGCTCTCGAATTTTTTCTAGTTCACACACAGTTAACTCTTAGAGAGTCGCAAACAAGAATGGACAAACGCGGCGACGCGACGCTTAACGAAACGCGGTCGAGGTCTTTAGGTAACAGACTATTTTCGGTGATGATGTATACACACTAAACCATTAAATTGCATACGTACACACGCCTATCAAACACACCACAACCCAGCAATATTATTCTTTTATTAACGGATTTATTCAAGGAATAGGTGGGGTTCCAACTGACAGTTTTCTATGAGAAAATTCGACATTTTCGTAATTTTTGGCGTGAAGTAACATCATTTAACACAGATGGCAGCACCATGCACAATATTCACTATAATAAAAAAATAAAAGAAAATTTATGTAATATAATATTATTTATCATATATTACACTAAATATTTGTTCATTCAAGAGATTCTTTAAATCACCTTTACTAACTTGCTCTATTCTAAAATTTCTTACAATTCGAGATAATTTTGCGGCAAGTACATGCTCACAAAGTAGAGATGTTTGCGAATCTAAAACACGTAGTTTAAATGTATTACAATGACAAAAATTAATGTCAGAAAATATAAAGTTTTGTTGATCTTTATTTTTTTCAATTTTCATAATGTTTCTGGAGTTATCATCGGTTTTATAAACGACAAATCGACTATTATCTAATAATTCAAGCGCTTTAGTAAATGTCATCCCAAAGATAGAATACAGAGATTGTAATATCTCATCTGAAACTTAAGAAAGATAAGAGAAACTTATTTAGATATATTTAAATGATTTTCTGAAAACTTACATGATTTATTTTCGTTAAAAAAGCATTCAGCATCTTCGAGTAATTTAAAGGATATTGCTGAAGTTACTTTGTTCGATTCGTTAGTTACCATCATAACTGACGTTTTCTTTACATAACCATACTTATCTAACCTCAAATTTAAGATTCGTATCCTACCTTCTCATTAAAAATTCTTATTTAATTTAAGAAATGTGTACGGAAGTTGATGTCTTCATTACCAATTATACTCTTGTTGATCCCGAAATACTTGAGTTATGGATACAAGGGTTTTCAGGTAACAGTCTGTTTTATTTTAATTATCATTTGGTCAACTAGAGAACATAGGTGATAAAATTCAGATTTTGAAGTGTTCTTATCCTAAATATTACAATGTATACTATAAGAATTACTCCCTTCCTACAAAGAGGTGATTTTAACCCCTATTACTATTTGTGTTGCTTTTCGCAGCCTCTGAAGCAGTATCTACATTAAACCAAAGAGGTCTTGGTCAAAAGACAGGAGCATCCCTGGAATTAATTGCCAGCGACGTTTTAGATCATTATCGTACTTATTCCCTCTTGGAGAAGCTTCTTACAAACCCTAATAAATTGCAAGAACAATTGGCTTTTCAAATTGACCCTGACACCAGGCAGTTTCTAATTGAGAGGTGCATACACATACCATATATCTATTAAGACTGTGGTTTATACAAAAACAATTTTCAAGCTATTATGCCATTGACGATAACGTCGTTCGCGAGCTTTTGGGGAAAAAGTTGTCTTCAAAACATCGAAAAGATTTGGATGAAGTTGCAGAGAAAACTGGCGTTCCATTGAAATCTTGTCGGTATGCTTTTTAAATTGACTGACTAAGTATCATATTTATTATTAACATTGTTATTTTTTAATTTAGAAGACAGTTTGATAATATTAAAAGGATTTTTAAATCGGTTGAAGAAATGCCCGGACCGATTGTGCAGAATATTCAAAAGCTGTTCTATTTACATGAAGATTTGGCTCGAAAATACGCGTGCATTGTCTTTCTGGCTTGCATTAGGTTCGAGACATCAAAACGCCGGTTACAGTACCTGGATTTTATTACGTTAAAACAGTGTACGGAGGTAATAATGGACCTATGGACTTACAACGTAACAGGTAAAAGTTTGTACTAGCATCTGGGCATCTTCCTTCATCTGGGAAGGCTAGTTTTATTAAACTAATATATCCCAAGCAGGGATTAAATACTGTATTCCTAATTATAGGCCTATTTCTATTTTAAGTGCTCTTGAGTGTATTATAGCTGAAAAACTGGCTTTGTTACTTGAGAATCAAATTATTTCAGAACAATATGACTACTCTAAGGCTAAATCAAATCTGATTGTGTAATATCAATATATTTTTGAAGCTTTTCTTGCAAAAAAAAGCAAGTTATTCTTGGTCAAAGACTATAGTCTAACGTTCACATTGACTTCATGTGCAAAAGCGCCTCTAGGCTCGATTGGTTTGTATCAGAGGAAACTCTACTGGATTTAAGGGTCCTTATACAATAAGAACTCTGGTTAGACCTTCACTTTATTATTTTTATCCTCTTTAGGGATTGTCATGTCACTTGAGCATGTATAGAATACGATGTTGAGATATCTAGCTTATTTTTTAAGATTTATTTAGCCTTAGGGACTGAAATCAGGATAAATTTAATATACAATCAGTACTAAAGGGGTTAAACTATTTATGTACCCTTAACAAAGTAACTTTTATATAAAGGTGTTAGATAACCTCAAAAGAGTATTCGAAAGGCTATTAGTTGATGATCATTATGTAAATAAGTAAAATCTTCTACTGTCTACTTTTAGATAGATGGAGGAAAATAGTATTATTGTTTTTAGTANTATATATTCAAATGAATACAAAGTTAGTCAAGTATAATAATTCTCTGATTTCCTTTTCATTCATTATATTCTAGTTTTTAAACTCTTTTTTTTTTTTTTTTTTATTATAAATTTACAATAATACGCGATAAGAGTAACCTTATTATGAAATAGGCAGTTTGTCAGTGTCTAATAAGTAGAAGAAAAAACCTAAACTAATGCTAATTTCACATTATCAAGCATTTTTCTTCGCCTTGAGGATCTCCTTGCTGATGATAAAGTTCTTCTGAACTTAAAAATCCACCCCTGACTTGTCGATGGTGAGTTAGCGAAGTCGACAGTTGTCTACGTATCCTACAAAAAAAAAGTTGTTTAAATTTAGGAAACAAAATAATATCCCACATATCGGTTAAATAATAGATAAGATTTACGTTTTTCTATTTTACTTTTTTCCAGTATAAATAGCTAACATAAAAATCTAATCCATTTATCGATTCGGTGTTTGCAAATGTATATTTATTTTCAGAAAATATGTAGTATCACCTAAAGATAGTGATGGTGTCAGCCACTCTACAGCATTTATAGAAATTAATGAAACATTAATTTTAACACAAAACATCTACATCCAAAAAAATGGAACAGATAAATTATATATGTACAGTCACTTGCGAAAATTACGGTCGTCTACAACGTTCTCTTCTATAAAAAAAATACAGTACCTGTCGAGTTTAATTATGTTTGCAACGTACTGTAGGGCAATTTCATGTCAAGGTCAATTATTCATTTTTGTAAATGAGATTTTTCAAAAATTCTCTAATTAAATTAATCGCTCAAATTAACGATATTCCTGGCTTTTCATTACAAAAAAAAGCAACTGACTAAAAATTATTTTTTTTCCGTAAAAATTAATATACAGGAATATGCGAAGGTCGTTATTGAAACATACAAATGTATTTTAGTAAATACAATTTGAAAACATGTACACATTATGCAAATCAATGTTAAGTATGTCGATGAGATCATTAGACCTTTCGTTGACAAACGATATTTTTTATTCTGTAATTTCGAAACCTCTATTTTTATTAATAATTTATTTTGAAATCGAATACTTAATTCACTTCGGTTACAAGTTTGCAGATTAAAATTAAAATAATTTGAATAAAGGTCAATAATATTCTAATAAAAATAGCTATGAGATAACAGAGGCAGGTACCTATCATGTTCCTAATCAATTACTCATTTTAAGTGTTAATCGATATTAACAGGAATATAAAGATAATCTTAGCAGAACCGCACAAACTGTATGCATAAAAATAGCAAGTTTCTTTCTTTTTTTTTCTTTTAGTATATAACGGAAATAATAATTAATA